TTGGCGACTCTCGCTCACCATTGTCCTAGTGGTTTTCAACAGCTTCTAGATCCACCGTCGATAGTTAAACTGTGGCTACAACATGACTTGGTTGGCATTGTTTACCCGCGGTGTATAACTGTCTAACGGTTTTAGGCTTTTTGCCTCCTTTGTACCAAAAAAGAAAATTATGGTATATTTGTAAAGTTCTAGGGTTGAATTAGCTATTTTATAAATAAAACTAAAATAGGTGTAAAAATGTTGTAATTGAAAATATGGTATATTTGTAAGATTTTAGGGTTGAATTAGCTATTTTATAAATAAAATTAAAATAGGTGTAAAAATGTTGCATAAATAAATAAGATATGATAGTATGCGGTCCAACTCCAATGGTGTAGACGGTACTGATTTAGAAGGTACTCGATTCAGAATGTATAAACCTATAATAGTAAAGAACGAGACAAATAATAGTAATACAACAAATAAAAATGCAAGCAAATTCAGAAATCCATTATTAATAAACATCTAAATATCGCACGGATATTACGCACTCAAGATTGATGACTTTAGAAAGTTACATTACCCTGATTCAAGAGCAACAATGCATGTATCCACATATCCCAAAGCTGCAGATAGACGATTAGCTCAAAAGCTTCTCTGACTATGCCTTTTCGGGCAAGTAATCTCCACAAGGAACCCACTTCTTTTGGAAATGCAAGATCATAGTCTCGCAAGGCCTTAAACCTGGCTAGCTCAGTGCTTGGCTGTAAGTTTGGCTATTTTCCCATGACACCATGTACAAGCCCACTTCTCCTCATCAAATACACGTGCGTCAATGGCGCAAATTACCCTACAGTTAACCCGGTCAAAGTCAGCCCTTTGCGGCAAAAAGTCTTCATAAGGGCAGCCCCCCCAATTTCTGTGAGTCCTAAAACAAATAGCACAGGAGATATAAGGGCAAGCTTGCCGAGGAAGATGCTCTAAAGAACACTTGCTGCAAAACTCAGGTGGGCTTTTGTCTTCGTCACCGTCATGGATACTAAAAAATGATTTGTGTGGAACGCGTGAGAGTATCAGTGAGGGTACCCCTTCAATTGGAACGTGTGGAATATATGAGGGTACTACTTTGCTCAAGTAAATATCAGAGAAGATAAAAGGGCGAGAGTCCCGAGGACGATGCTCTAAAGAACACTTGCTCTTGCTGCAAAACTCAGGTTGGCTTTTGTCTTGGGCACTGTCATGGAAACTAAAAAATGGATTGTGTGGAGCGTACGAGGGTTTCGTTGGAACCTGCGGAATATATGAGGGTACTAGTTTGCCCTCCACCTTGTTGTTTCCTGTTCAGTAAAATAATTAGAATAATAAAACAGTACATCCACAAACAATAATGACCGACCTTCATAATCAATTCTAGGCAGTAGGATATCAATCACCACCATCGGATCACTTAGAGTGCCATATAGTATTTTAAGAAAATTCTAGAAACAAATCTGACAGAAGAGTGACTTGATTATGACAACCTAATTGCAAAAATTCGAAATAAGCAGAAGAGAGTAGGAGAATGCAATATTGGAACTATTTGTTAACCGGAACAACGACCACTGTCGGCAACCACCAAAATCAACAACATCAATTCCAGATGACATGAAACTGAAGGGAATCGTAATAATGAAATCGCATATGTACCACAAACAACAAAATTAAAACTGAATCATCATCTGAGAAAGAGAAACAAACTGGACCCTAAACATTTAATTTCATATCAAAGAAGAATTTGAAGGGTAATTCCATACCGGTAGAAGCGGCTTTGGTTGATGACGGAGTTTTAAGGGAGGTGGAACTGCGTGGTTTCCTCCTCCTCCTCGTACCTGAATATGTTCTCAATTAGCAACAACATTATAAATAAATCAAGTCGGTGGTTTCAGACCACAGGAAACTCAAAGGAAGAGATTTTCATTCATACCCACAGAAAAGGTGCCGACACTCTCACGGCAGCTTCCTAGGTTTTTCAGATAGTTAGATCTACCCAATTTCGTTATTCCTGACAAAAAAAGAATCTCGGATTAACAGCAGTAACATTCAGATCTGTGGGAGAAAAAATAAAACCCTAGAGAGAGAGAGAGAGAGAGGACAGAGATAGACAACCTCGTTCGAAATGTAAACGATAGTTCATATTCATACCGGTGGTCGGAGTGCGGCCTAGATTTTCAAAGGATGTCGCAAGGTTATCCACATCTTCCACCTCCTCCGTACAAGACATCGCTATGGCTCGCTTCGGACGCTCTGTGTCTCGTTACAGAATTTTATATCACGTATATAAAGCCACAATCCTATTAGTATGGATAATAACGAGAGATCCAAGGATACGGAATAGGCTAATTTACACATACACTCCACCTTCTACGCATAACATATACACAACATACACAGTATATGCACCGCCCTATTTTTTAAGGTGTTCGCGTGAAATTTTTTTATTGTTGTCGCTGGGTTCGACTAAAATTGGCCCGAATCGAATGTGAAATCGGCCTTTTCATGTCTTTTTTTTTGTTTTCTAGGTGATATCCGGGTGTCCTTCGATTTCATTTTTTGGTGGAAGTGCAACTTTTGTGAACCAATCTAAATTTTTGCGGAGGCCGGAATCTTGTACGAGTTCTTGACCTTGGCTCTCTTTTCCGATCTGACGAGCCTCTTCAATTGGACGAACAAGATTTCTGAAAGTTTGTTGGGAGCGATTTCACATAGTTATCCCCCACGAGCCTCTTCAATTCGCTGATCTGACGAGCCTATTCAAACTTCGGATCTGACGAGCCTCTTCAATTCGCCGTCTTCCATCGATCAAAAAAAAAAAGAACACATAGAAGAAGAGAGAAAAAAAAAACGCAAAGAGAGAGAGGAAGGAGAAGAATAGGAAATTGTCTCTTCCTATAAAATAGCACTAAATCCTCCACTCACCATAAATACCTCAACCTCTAACTTAATAAAATATTGTTAAAATTAGAAGACCGTTTCTTCTCTTACTTTCATGTACACAATATATCAGTTTTGCTATGGAACAATCGGATGGCTCGGCTTATGGAGCAATCCACACTTACAATAAATAAAATTTGGACATGTGTCAATATATTAAGCAATGAATTGCTCCATAAGAAAAACAATCCGATTGCTCCATAGAATTTTTGCACAATATATTCCTAAGCTTTCAAATAAAATTTATGGCTTCGTTTTAATTAAATATAAGACCCATACGGTCGTAGGCTAAGTAATTTTCTCAATATAGAGACATCTAGAGAAAATGGGCTTGAGATAGATGGTCAATTGAACAAGGCAAATGTAGAATTAGTTCTCAAACCCCTTGCATGAAAAACAGAGAATTTGTAGTTTTTTTTTTTCAAGCATAAAAAAAAAAGAAAAAAAAAATTAAAAGACAAGAACTAAAGTACAAAATCAACCTTTGTGGATTAAAGATTGATTAAAATTGCTTTTATACAACCTTAATGACCCAAAGTCCCTCCTTCCTTAAGGTACTCCAAATACTTGGAGAACTTCGGGTTTGCTGTCGGCTTCTTCTTCCGCGACGTCGTCTCGAAAAGACCGAAAAGAGGATGGATTTTGCTAGCTTTCTTGATCGCCTCTTTTTCTTCCTCCTCCGGAGTTTTTTCGCGAGCATTTACACATTTTATCTTTTTTGAGCAGCTCGTGAGGATTTTGGCCGACGTGCTTGTGGTTCGGTTAAGCTTAGGCACCAAATCTGCACCGATAGCCTCCTCGTGTAGCGGTTCGTAGCCTTTTCGGCTTCTTCTCGTGCTCATAGCCCTAAACATTTTCTTGAAAAAAAAAATGGGTTGTTGATATTTTGGTGTGGTTATTTTTGTGTTCTTGAGGGGAAGATGGAGATGTTTGTGAAACAAAATGATGTATTTGTGTGTGTGTGTGTGTGTGTGTGTGTTTTAGACTTAGTTGTGTGTACTCATGTATGATGAATAATTGGCTTTGGAGATTTGGCTTTGATTTTTGATTTTTGTTTGCATGTGGTGGTTGAGGTCGTTGGACTAAGATCACACTTGGGATTTTCTCTATTGCAATTTTTATTTTGTTTTCACACTTGAAATCTTGGGTCTATTTTATCATGAAAATTATATATATATTTTATTTTATTTATTTATTTGTCTATTTAGTATTATTTGTTTATGTTTTTCCTTCTTTTATTTTAATTAAATTGAACCTCTATGTTAGTTCGTGCATTTGCATCATGTTGAGTGAAGATGACAATATGACACACGAATTAAAAACAAGAAAAGTAAAAAACACAAGATTTACGTGGTTCGGCAATGTGCCTACGTCCACGGCGGCTGAGGGATCTTTTATTATTCTCGATCGTATCAAATACATCAATACACCATGTATTTATACTAAAACCCTACAAGGTATAAATTTACTTAAATACCCTGTACCGTACCTCCACTCCGCTCACTTCGCTCGGTCGCTCCGCTTCCCTCGCTACGTTCGCTCCGTTACGCTCGCAGGCATCAGCCTGCCCTCTTCCTTTGTCAATATATGAGCCATACCAACACATCAATATATTGACTTTTCATATACTAAGAAAACTTTTAATTTAAATAATTCTTATACAAATCTTTTATGACAGTATGATTGAAGCTGCATAAGAAAGATGTAACAAAAATTCAATTCTACCATGTAATTATGTATATAAGTATAGGTTGAATTATGAGACCTAATGCTTTTTCTAAAGAAGAATTTGAAAAAAAAAAAAATATATTAAAAAAAATAAGCTAGTCACATGGTAGATGGGGCCTATTTTTGGAAAAACAAAAATTAGATAGAGACATAAATAGTTTTAAAGAGTATGTTTGTTTATAAAAATTTTCAAAAAATTTCTAACACTTTAACTCAACCATTTTTTTTAACCCAACTTTAACTCAACACCACTATCATCAATATAATTAAATAATATCAATCAATCACTCATCCACACCACGTCAACCTTAATTCACTATTCATCTACTCACATAATTTTAACTAACAATCACATCACAACTTCTCTCTCCTACTTTTACATCATTTTAATTTTAATCATTTTATTTTAAATATTATTTTAATAAATCCACTAACAACTAATCATACCACTTTTCAAAATTAACCAAATCAAACCAAAACATCCAAACAAACTCAAAAAATTTCATAAACAAACATGATCCTTAAGTCGAATTAGATAAAGTTTTATCCATAAGAGAGCATCATTTCTTGGTTTGAAAAGTAAAGATATGTGATATTCGAGAGGAGTGATTGCAATAAGTAAATGAAAACAAGACTTGCAAGTTGAGGTTTTATTCTAGGTCCGTTACGAAATCATTCCGTCGGGGTTTGTAATCGTTAGATCAACTATTCTCGACGATTATATGATAATCTAACAGTTACAAACCCCGACAGAATAGTACTGTAACAAGACTGTAGCATTTCCCGGTTATTAGTGCAAAGAGCACAACCATAATCACCTTTTGAAAAAATGGGAGAATCTCCACCGTCCGTGGTAATAGGCTTTTCAAGTTCATGACCAATTGAACACGAACATGACTGGATATGAGTTATGATATTACTCAACCGGTCTGAGTCATTTTATATTCAATCACCAAATTCAAAATTAACTCTACACAACCCTCATACTTTTTCATAAATATAACTGAATAATATCAATCATTTATTCACACGCATTACATCAGTTTTAATTCACTATTCATTAACTCACATAATTTTAACAACATATCACTTCCTATAATCTTTCCCTTACTTTCATATCATATCAACTTTAATCATTCCATATTAAATACTATTTGGTTTTAAGTCAGCCTTATTCAAAATAATTTATTTAACTCACCATGTTGAATCATAACCGGTTTTAATTCATATCCCATCGCGCCTTGAATGGCTCCCTTTGTTTGTAACACATGTTTTTATATTGTTACTCATAAAACCTTTTTTTTCCATGAATTGAAATGTATAAATAACTTTTTCTTTCAAAAATTAACCTACCACTTTAATTAATTCATATCCTATCGCAACTTTAATTATTTTATTTTAAATATTGTTTGAATAAACCACTAACATCTAACCATACCATATTTAAAAAAAAAAATTAACCAAACCAAACTAAAAAATTCAAAAAAAAAAAAAAAAAATGTATCTAAAACCTCAATCTGTCATCCAAAATACATATTTGATTGTGAGCAAAAATTCTACAGCAACGAAAATGATTAGCACATTTATTATTTCTCAACATGGTAGTAGCTGATTTTGGCCTTAAAATGAGCTGATAAAAAAACTACAAATCCTAGCCAACAATCTCAACTCAAATCTAACCGAACCTCAATCTCCTTAATATTATCTGTGTAATTAAATAATATTAATCAATCATCCTTACAACATCTACTTTAATTCGCTATTCATCCGCTCACATACTTTTAACTACCTGTCAGTCTGTCACTCCTAATCATCTATCTCCTACTTTGACAGCAGATCAATATTAATTATTTTAATAGAAACCCAAATCCCACTCAAACCTAATTCAACCAATTTTTTTCAAAATTAACCCTACATCCTAATGACTACTACATGGTTTTGAGTACTATTTGGTTCGACCACTGACCAACACTTACAATGATATTAGGATTATGTTTCCATATAGAGATAAAATACTTCCCTAATCCCAATGTTGTTGATTATAGCATTAAGAGGAGAAGATTTTACGGAGAGATAATCAAACCAACCGAAAAGGACTGAATGATAGCCTAGTGGCTATTTTCGCTTCGAGTCTTCCTTCATAAAGGGGAGATTCCCTTTGAGATTCTATTTCCTTAGCATGGATAGGATACATCTTAACTGAACAAGTACTATAACTAAGAGTCACCTTTTACACTCTGAAAGTCCAAGAGATAGTAGAATATACGAAACCTGAACCTCTATGCTGATTGATTTGATCCAATCCGAATTATTTTTCATAAACTCTCAACTTTCAGGTGAAAAAAAGTAAGTAAACGAACGTCCAAAATGAAGCAACAGAATCGCATGAAAACAAATAAGAAAAAAGTCTTAAGGGGTTCCATTAACCAAACAGAACAAGCCGTGCATGAAACCAAAAGCATACCAGGATTAGTTGAAACTTCACAGCCTGGCCCCATAATTTATTGGAATCCATACTCGCGGATTTTCCAAGAAAAACAACAAAATATTTTGAAATTTATGTTGCGGATTATGAAGCCTATGCAGCTTTGTCGTTAATGAGTTCTGGCTGTGTCTCGCGAACAGCCCCCAACAGTGAACCATATGCTTCATCCTGCCCAGAGAACTTCTTTCGAAGTACCTTTTCGAATTCCACCTTGTCCAATTCCTTTGCATTTTCAGAAGCGTGAGCTTGGGCCAGGCTGGCGTAATTGGTCGCAGACTGTGAGATGAAGGCAATTTCGTCATCCGTGAGCTTCCTCAAAAACTTGGCTGGATTTCCTCCCCACACCTGGGGACCGAAAGATTCACGGATTAAAGCAATACCATTCACTTGCTATCTTAAATAGGTCTTTCCCAAGTTGTTAAAAAAATTAAATCAGGTGAAATAATACTACAAATTATGTCTAGGCAAGCACTCAGTTTTAAAAGATATCATTCTGCAGCAATAAATTGATGGCTGTTCAAGAAATTTAATTAAAAAACAAAAAAAAAAAA